GGGGGGGGGGCGTTCAAGGAAGAGGAGGAATGCGAGGCCTTCGAAACGTGTTCTTTCCCCGCGTGGCCGGCCCCAGCGGTAGCTGCAGATGCGAGGTAAGGAGCGAGGTCGAGGTCGTCGAGTGGGAAACGAACCTTAGGTAAGTGCAAGGAGGAGAAGAAGGAAATGGGTGACAAGTGTGAGCTCGAAGCTGATGAGGTCGTAACAGAGCACGGGTGAGCATAAAAGCAGAGAAATGCCTTTCCTACGGGACGGACACACGGCACGCGTCGGTCATCTCGCGGTCATCTCGAACACGATCCACCCCTCCAGGTCTTCCTCTTCTCCCTCCACCCCTCTCATATTGTTTTTTTACCCGCGCGTTCAATTTCCGCCGGCTCTGCTGCGTGAACTGGAAGCGTTTAAGGTGGATGATAAGCAGGGGAGGGAGTCGCCACAATTCCTCTTTCCGACGGGCCCCGCTTTGATGGGCTTTACACCGAGAGCAGTAGACCTGGGAGGGAGGGAAGGAGGGAGGGAGGAAGGAAGAAAAGGAGGGAAGAAAAGAGTGAGCGACACGTTGTGCCAAGGGCACCGCCGGCGCGCCACCCCAAGCGAAAGCCTTTCCCTTCTCTGCCGCCTGCCTACCTCGTCGGCCAGGGCCTCTTCCCGCATGCACACGTCCAGGCAAGCCTGCAACGACAGCCCCTCCGCCTCCTCCCGCCGGTGTCGAAGCAGGGAAGGGTGGACCTGCGAGGCCACCAAGGTGGGGACATGCATGTGCTCCTGTGCGGCACGGATCCGATGTCATGGACACGAGTGAGATTTGAGGGCCCCTGTTGTCTTTTTGGCATACCGAGACCCGGTCACGGCACCATGCCTCCCTCTTCTTCTCTCCTTCCCGGCCTCTGCTCTTTCCTTTCTTCCCTTTCGCTCTCCCTCCTTCCCTACCTTCACGACGCTCACGTGCCAGTCCACCGCCACGGCCTCCCCCACATGGAGGGTCAGGACGTAGTCGGGGGAAGCTGGGATCAAGCAGCCCAAACAGCTCTGGTGAAAAGGGGCCCCGAATCGGTAAAAACAAATCATGAGCCAAGTCATTGAAAGCGCTTACACACATCGCCCATCTGCACTCCCGGCCAAAGTCCATCTCTCGTATCTAAGTATTTATTCCCTCCTTGTCAGAGTCCCTCTCCCTCTCGGCTCCCCCTTTTCCGCTTTCCTCCCTTGCCGCTCCTACCTCTTTCCATGCACATCGGCAACAGGTGCTCCCCTCCGTGGTCACCAGGCGCAAGCGAAAGCCCCAAGGACGAGGAATTTCCCCGCCACAGACACTTTCCTCCGTGATGGAAGAAGTTTTGAGCGCAGGCGGGGGAGAGCGGGGCGGGGGGAGGGCGCTGCCCGTCCCCAACTCGGCGGCCGTGGTTTCCATCCTCTCCTCGGGAGGGATGGAGAGTGTGGGAGGCGGCCACCCGTGCAACAGACGGCACATCTTGCTATGGATGGTCTCGTAGAGTTCCAGACCCGTCAAAGTCTTCCTTTCCCATCCCCTCCCCTGTGCCCCCTCGTCCTCCACCCCGCCCTCCGGCCCGCCCTCAAGCCCCTCCTCCATCTCCACTCGGAAAAGAAGCGGGGTGCCAAAAGGACGCACCTCGTAGGGGTTGACAAAGTAGGGCCCGTATCGACGAGTAAAGGTCCGGTGGAGGACTGGCAGGTAGAAGCACGGGGCGAGAGAAGCTCCGCGGGAGGGAGCGGGGGAGGACGAGGGAAGGAGAGGGGCCACCTCGTAGCAATAGAGCAGCGGGTCTCGGTCCCTGTAGGTTGACGGCCACCGACGCAGGATTGAGCGTCAGATGTTGTATAAAACGCAACTTTGAAACTACCCGATGCCCACTCGCCCTCCCTCCCTACCGGAAGGCTCCACACCGCGAGACGGCGTATTCCCCCGGGACCACGGTCGTGACGACGCTCCCTCGCACGTCGGCCAAGATGAGGTCCTCGGCGTGCAGGGGGTGGGCGGGCTGTAGGGATCGGGGAGAAAGGAAAGGAAGAGAGGCGGGGAATAGAGAGGGTTAGAATTACGTGATTGATAGAAAGAGAGAGAGGCTTCACCAGACAGTGTGGCACGTCCCGGGGTACATTTGCACCCTTCCCCGGTTTCCATCCGTTTCTTTGTGCCTTGAAAGGTCGCACGATGGCCAGAAAAGGAAATGCGCTGGGGGGGCAGGGGGTGTGAAATAAAGCCCAAAAAACGGGCGGAGAACGTCTCGTACCAGATGGTTGAAGCTGGCACCATGGCCATTTTCCCGCCCATACGAAGATGTCGTCTCCTTGCTCTTGTGATCACTCATACTGCTTCCGTTTCCGCTGCTCGCATGCTTGTCGGTGGTGCCGATCCGTCTGTATTCCCCGTTAGGAACGGTGCTGCTACCGTTGTCGTCGCGCTTTTTCCCCTGGCATCCACACCCGTTGTTCTTTCGTTAATCTCATGCTGAGAAATCGACACACCCTCCTGCATTTCTTTCGTCTACTTTCTCCAGACATCAGATGAGTCAGTGGTCCCCACTCTCTGCCGCCCTGTCTACCCCTCATTTTCGTGCGTGGCGCTTACCCGGAGGGTGGACTGCACGCCGTCTTTGTGAAGAAGGGCAATCACGGCCTCTTTGACGTCTGCCATGCTCCCTTGCTTGGAGACCTGCACCGA